AATAATATTTTCAATTCACACGTTTTCTATATAAAATAATCATTGGTAAAATATTTCAATGTTCTACGTTTTGACAAGATTAATTTAACTCTTCTTGAAATTTCATCGATATCATTCAAATATGAATGTTGATTAATTTTACTGTTCCCTGATACCTGATATAAAAAATTATTTAGTTAAATTTTTAATTGCGATTTACCATATATAACTTCATATAATCTTATTTCCAAATATGGCTTCGACTTTCCATCGATTATCAGATTTTCCACCAATTATCGAATTTTTACGCGAAAGCAAACGCAATGAATCGATTAATCTTCTCGTTAATTCGTTCCTCGGAGTTTTAGTCGACACTGTACGCTTGTACGTGACACCACCATAACTTTACCACGGTTTGCAGACTGGTTAGGCTCACGCACTGCTGCACGAACGTGAGTTATCGGGGAAGCATGATCTCTACCTTGCTCCTGTGACTCCTCCTTTACTCCTTTTTGGTGGCGAGGCCAAAGCCTGACTGCGGTCCAATTGTGCAAGGGACGCATAAACAACGAGTATCCTCGAGATACGTCATTCGATATCCATTTCCTTCCACGTACGTGTAGAATACCCTTTTGTTTAATCTCGTCTTTCGATGAATTTATTTCTTTGATAATTTTATAATATAAACTTGTATTTATATGTTTTTATCCCTTGAAAATTTTTGCACAATGACTGAACCAATTATTTTGATTAGAAGCACAAATCAAGTAAAAAAAGAGATAAAGAAATTATTTGGTTACAAAATGATAGCGTAATTTTACTTCTTTTGTAATTAACAGATTAAATAATGATATTTATTAATATTTCATTGTACATAAATATTTCTCTTAATTTTTTTGTAGATCGATAATAAATATTATAGTATATTAGATATAAATCTACATACATCTGACTTATCACTACTCTTTTTCAATCTCTTGAACATTACATTAATTTTCCAATATTTCCAATATTTAATTAATTTATTTTTATCAATTAAAAACACAATTTTCATTTTTCCGTTCGATATATTCGTTTCGTTAACAGAAATTAAGAATTTCAATAATATTACGTTGCATAAGATAAAATAAGGGAAATAACACATGTGCAGAGTAAAGGAGCGCGCGTGTGCCAGGAAACGCATTTTCATTCACGACAAGTACACGTGGCACGCACATTACGTCACCTTGTCTACACACGCATTATTAGGGTTGCAGAACCGGTTCGCCGTTCTCTTTATCAGCGCACGTATCGTCGTGGGGTATGCGTGTCCCCCTTTCAAAGGGGGATGCTCGCTTGTATACACTTGATTCCGCGTATACGTACGATAAAGGGTGGTAAATTTTGAAACGTTGAACAAAGAAAAAACACGTGGAGCAACAGGAGAGCACGAGATCAAAGGGGGTTGCATGGATACTCTGGAACGGTGATCCTTTTATTGTGACTCTTTTTTTTTTCATCCCCCTGACCGGATCAAAAGGGGATGTGAACGACTCACTTTCTCTCGTATGCGAGGATATGGAATGAAAATGACGAATATCTGGCAAAATTAAAACGAGCACAGAATATGAATTGTGAAATAATACATTCGTGTGATTATTTAATCAATTAGAGATATAATGTGATTAATTTGTAAAATTATTGATCTTCTGATATCTTGATTTTTGATGATATTGTATGTAAATTGAATGAATCATTTGGTTTAATTAATATAATTAATATATAGGTAATATTAATAATACTTTTTACATAATTTTAGATAAAAACAAAGAGAAAAGTGAAAATATTAAATTGTTTATAACTTGAAAAATAAATTTCATATTTGCCTATGAATAATTTATATTGATGTTTAGAATAAACCCTTTAGACCTGTCACATGTATTCAATAATATATATATCTTCTGTGGAGCATAGAATTAAATGGGTGAATAGAATAGAAACGAGGAATATTGGAAAGGGCAGATGGATTTTTATGAAAGTATACATCTTGATAATGGTCACGCAGAGCGGTTTAAAAAAGACGCTTGACCGCATCTGAACAATAGCTCTGAGAACGTAGATCGGGGTAGAAACCAGGATCACAGAAATCAGCGGGGGTGCATGATATTTCAGTTACTATATATACATATATCATGCTATTTTATAGTAAATTTTTTTAAGGATGAAGGATAAATTAAAAATAAATTTAGAATTATATCATATATTCATTTAAAGTCTTTTCTATAAGAAATGTAAGTAAATCAAATATTCACCATAAATATTTTGATCTTATCAAATTATATCGATAAATAAAATTTTTATTAGATATATATATCTTAATGCTATATATAAAAGCATTATAATTATTTTCCATTTTCTGTGCAACATTACTTAAATAATTCAATTATAAAAATCTTCTCCAATATTTATACTATTAAACTATTATAGTAATAGAATTGCATTATAAAAGATACAAAGAGAATAAAAAGAAACTAACAAGATAGAATTACTACGAAATTATTTACTCATCTTTTTGTAATATCTTCAAACAGAATTTATTTATTAATAAATAAATTTAATACATATACCACTTTAAATTAAATCAATTTGCAATCTTTAATAAAGATAAAAGAACACGTGTATCAAGATTGGAATAATAGGTTTTAACGCGCATAGTCATGAAGCACAGCTATGAATGTGTGCCGATTAGAGAGGCGATTAGGATGGATACGTGAACGACGAACCAGTACTAGTTTCTCTGCCAGTTGTTGGTAAATCATGATTTAGAATCAACCGGAAAACAGATTGTACGAAGAGGTCTTCAGAGGAGCTAAACGAACTTAGGACAGCGCCGTGTAGAGAACATGTCTAAACGCTATACCTGGTTATATGTGTATACACACGCGCTATACTATGCTACTACGAAATCACTATGATTTCGTGTATTGGTCAGTTCCATTCTTTGAGAACAGATAATCATCCCATTTATAACATTTTATTTGTCACTACATATATAAATCGAAACTGAATGAATTATTATCGAATAAATATACAAATTTATGCGAATATAATAGAAAAATTTTAATAGATATTTGTGATATGATAATTAAGAAAATAATCATATATTTTCAAATGAATGTACTTTATGAATAATTCATGGAGAATATTATTCTAGATGAAGAAATTATTTAAATTTTTAAATAATTTAAATATCAAGTGGTTGATAAACGTTAATTGGCAACATAGAAAAATATTTATTGTGAATTTAATGTAAAAAAGAGAAATTTGTGTTAAATATATAATTTATAATTCTTAAAGATAGTAAATAAAATGTAAGTAAATAAAAAAATATATAAAATTTAAAATAAATAAAAATTAAATTGGAGGCGCCGGGTATCGATCCCGGTACCTCTCGCATGCTAAGCGAGCGCTCTACCATCTGAG